GGCAATGTCCATGTTTTGCTATGGGAAACCTAAAATACGTGTCGAATAAAAAAGTAAAATAGGATGTGCACAATGGCAATATGTAATAAAGATTCTGTGAAAGTTTCAATAAATTTCACTCAGTAGTATAAGAAGAGTTGTGGATAAGAGATAAAGCCATAAATTGATGGACGGATGTACAAACAGATGAGAGAAAATCTTGATAATATATACCCTATTTTTCAAGCGGGGGGGGGGGAACATTAATAAGATTACTTCATCATTACATTTACTTACATTTCAGATTATAAAAATAAGATCAATTCAGGAGAAAATGACATGAACTATTTGAAACAATTGCGGATGTTTATGCATGTTTTCTGTTGAATATCATCGGAGTAAATTGGTCGACACAGTAGCCTCGCTTTCGGCTCTATATAATCAACACAAATTACTGCGCATGTTAATTGTGTGATGACCAAGGGAGATTGAGCATAGTTGAAGTTCAACTCCAAAAAATAACATTAAAACCTATAATATGTTTGAAAATGAGGTTCAAAAAGAAGATTCGAATTTTCAATATTTCTTTTCTTATTATATTTCAAATCAAATCTCTGATTGCCTGTTGTGGCCACACCCTACAATCGGAACCAATGTTGAAATGATCAAATCAACCTGATTAAGCTATTACACGTTTCAGCTTTCCTGGTCTAGCGGTTTATCAGGTATATTTAATGAACTTTAATGTCCTATTGTGGCCCTACCCTATCCCTAAGAACCAAGACTTAAAGAAATTAGAATTAACACACACTATCTCAGGAAGCTTTCTCCTAAGTTTAATTTTTTTCTGGCACAAAAGACCTTGTTGTGATGATAATTTTTTGGTGACTTCTACTGACTTCTCCCTAATTTTCCCTTGTTTATCTCCCCTTGGTAGAAAGAAGGGTCTTTCTTCACACCCTATTACAGGCAACTGGGACAACAGACAGCAAAGTTATTTTTTGCTATGACAGAGAACTAATTGATATATTTTTGACTATTTATCATAATTTATTATATTCATTTACTTAACATTTCATTCATTTTCAGTTTTTACCTTAAACTATTTTTCTGCTGAATACAAAACTATGATTTCATATAAAAACAAAATAAGAACAGAATAAAGAATTAAAACTGGGGCTTTGAAAATTTAAAATTTCCTAAAGCAAAAGATGCTTTGTGCAAACTTGTTTTTTTTTGGCACAGTGGTACTTAAGAAGTAAAAAAAAGAAATTTTATAAAAAGAAAAAACAAGAGGCCCAAGGGCCTTGAAAAGCCAGTTTTTGTTTCTGATAAATTGTAGAATTATCACTTCTCCTCTCTGAAGCCTCTTACTCTAAGTATCCTAAGATGCATGAACTGACAAAGTTTGATGATTTTTTTTAAATGAAGATTTTTCAGTAAAGCTATAAAATACTTTATTAATATGATTCAGAAGTAGGACATGGAGACCTACTTTTTGATTTAAACTTTCTATATAAGATGCATTAATTGACAAAGATTGATGGTTCTATTGAATAAGAACCTCACATATTAAAGTAGGTCACTTTGACCTTCTTATGGTTGACATTTCCCGAGGACCAAATATTTATCAACTATCAGAGTTTGATGATTCTAAGCCAATAAGTACCAGAGATATTTAAATAAAGCCATAAAATGTCAAAAATAGGTCACCGTGACTTACTTTTTGGTCGACATTTTCCGAGGACCCAAATGCATCAACTGACAATTTTTGATGATTTCAAGCTAATAAGTATCTGAGATAATTAAAATAGGTCCAGTATATAATTTCTCTCTTGCAGCTCCATCAATTTTCTGAAAACCCAAGATGCCTCAACTGACAACGTTTGATAATTTTAGCCAAAAATTTGTTAAGATACAGCGATAAAATGTTAACAACTTGTCACTTTAAATACCTTTTGAAAAGTTTCTTTGAAAAACCATGTTGCATCAAATGACAAAGTTTTGATAGTTCTAAGCCAAAAAGTACGTAATATACTTAAATATAGCTATAAAATATCAAAAGTAGGTCACCATGACCTACTTTTTGGTCAACATTTTCCGTGGACCCAAGATGCATCAACTGACAATGTTTGATGATTCTAAGCCAATAAGTACCTGAGATACTCAAAAGTAGGTCATTGTGACCTACTTTTTGGTTGACATTCTCCGAAAACCCAAGATGCTTCAACTGACAACATTTGACAATTCTAGGCCAATAAGTACCTGGGATACTTAAATATAGCCATAAATTCAAAACTAGGTCACAGTGACCTATTTTTTGGTCGACAGGTTTCGAAAAGTTGCATCAACTGACAAAGTTTGATGATTCTAAGCCAAAACGTACATAAGAGATATTGAAATATAGCCATAAAATGTCAAAAGTAGGTCACCGTGACCTACTTTGTGGTCGACATTTTCCGAAGACCCAAGATGCATCAACTGACAAAGTTTGATGATCATAGGTCTGAAAGTATTCAAAATATGCCTTTTAAACAATTTGAAAACAAATGCCTGCAAAATTCAACAAGTAGGTCACAGTGACCTTCTTTTTAATAAATATGTTTTAAGGCCCCAAGATGCATCAACTTACAAGGTTTGGTGAATCTAAACCTCTCAGTATCTGAAATAATGGGATGAAATGTTTTAGAAAAGATGAGCCATAAAATTCAAAAAGTAGGTCATGGTGACCTACTTTTAAGTTGACCATGTTTAAGAACCCAAGATGCATCAACTGACAAAGTTTGATGACCATAGGCCTTAAAGTGTTCAAAATATGCATCCAAATCAATTTGAAAACAAAAGCCCGTAAAATTTAAAAAGTAGGTCTCTGTGACCTACTTTTGTGTTAACATGATATGAAGTCCTTAGATGCATCAACTTACAAGATTTGATGATCCTAGTCTTTATAGTAAGCAAAATATCAATGTTTTTATTAAGTGTAAATTTTGGTTAACTTTGAAGTGACCTTGAGACCACGCCCTTTGCCCCAGGGTCATGCATTGAACAATTTTTAATCTTCAACATATCTTGAACCATTTATGTAAGTTTGGTGAAAATCTGCCTGGTGGTTCTGGAGAAGAAGATTCTTTAGCAACCAGTACTTTTGGTTCTATTTTCCTGATTATCTCCCCTTGTTTTAAGGTCCCAACCCTACTTTTAGTATAAATGGTAGCCCTTGGGCCAAGGATACCCTGAAATAAATTTGACAATGATTGGCCAAGGAGTTCTTGAGTTATGGCCCATATTTTAAAAAGTTAACGCACACCGCACGACGCACACAGCACAAATGGCCATAGCATTAGCTCTTTGAGCCTTTGGCTCAGAAGAGCTAAAAAACAAATACAGAGACAGATGGAAAGTCTCAGGACAACGGGGGATCCTGAAGCTCACTTTAGTTTTTCAGCTAAGGTAAGCCATCAATATACTGTAGAAGTACATTTTTCGCGTGGTATTAATTAACACTATATACGCGGTCACAAATTTTCCGCGGAAATTTGTCCAAGCGTACTTTTTATAAATGTACAGCATTAAGTGACAGTCTACCAAACCCAGGTACCCTGAAATTCAAAATTCTCAAAGAGGCATCCTTCCTCCTCATAAATATGTACATAGTTAATTGGTTAAATACTCAGGTGCAGAAAAGGAGAGTTTTAAAGAATTAATATGCATTTTCATTATATTATCAATAAAGCCCCGCCCTAACACCAGAACCCCCAACCCAGGGGCCATCAAATTAACAATTTTGGAAGGCGAAGCCTTATTCAACATAACTATGTACTTGGTTAGTTTATTTAATACTCAGGAGCAAAGAAGAAAATTTTCAAAGAAATAATTCATTTTTTACTATATAATCTATATAGCCCCACTCTAGCACTAGAACCCCTGACCCTGGGGCCATAAAATTCACAATTTTGGAAGAGGCAGCCTTTTTCAACATAGCTATGCACTTGGTTAGTTTATTTAATGCCCATAAATAGAGAAGAAGAATTTCAAAGAATTTTTGCATTTTCACTATATAATCTACTGGGGTACATAGCCCCACCTTAGCACTAGAACCCCCGACCCTGGGGCCATGAAATTCACAATTTCGGAAGTGGCAACCTATTCAACTTAATTTTGCACTTCAATGGTTAGTTTATTTAATGTCCATAAACAGAGAAGAAGAATTTTTGCATTTTCACTATAAAATCTACATAGCCCCACCCTACCACTAGAACCCCTGACCCTGGGGCCATCAAATTCACAATTTGAGAAGAGGCAGTCTTATTCAACATAACTATGAACTTGATTAATTTATTTAATGCCAACAAACAGAAAAGAATTTCAAAAAATTTATGCAAGTTCACTATATAATCTATATAGCCCCGCCCTGGCACTAGAATCCCTGACCCTGGGGCCATGAAATTCACAATTTTGAAAAAGGCGGTCATTTTCAACTTATCTATGCACTTGGTTAGTTTATTTAATGCCTAGGAGCAGAGAAGAAGAATTTCAAAGAAATAATGCATTTTCACTATATAACCTGTTTAGCCTCGCCCTAGCACTAGAACCCCTTACCCTGGGGCCATAAATTTCACAATTTTTGTAGAGGACTCAATGCTGATTACAATCATACTAACAGTTTGACTGCTTGATGTCCTGGAGTAAAGTAGCAGATTTTTAAAGATTGCACTAATTTTAGTGGTTTTTGCCCCAACCCCCAGGCCCCAGGGGGGCAGGGACCATGAAATTCACAATTTTTGTTCCCTTTGCCCATAGATGCTATAAGCCAAATTTGGTTGAAATTGGTTCAGTGGTTTCAGAGAAGAAGCTGAAAATGTTCAAATGTTTACGCACGACGCAGGTTGGACGACTCACGACGACGGACGAAAACAGATAGCAAGGTGACCTAAAGACATATATTATTATACCTATTTTGCCCATAGTCATCGACATAAATAGAAACCAATTCATTTTGTAAAGACTTTAACCAATCTTATAACCTTATAGGCTAAAAAATTTTCTTGTGTTTGTATTTCTAAAGTATGGCTTTAATTGTGCATTCTCACGATAGGTTGGAGATCTGTTTATTCCTTTAAAATTCACATTTCTATAAGCCAGAATACTTACATCTTTAGATTTTTTCTCCGTGTGTGTGACAGCAAGAAACAGTGGTGCCTTTTTGCCTCCAAATGTCTTGATTGAGGTAATCCAGAACTTCAGGTAGTCTATTAGAAACAAAGGTATGTAAGTCTAAAGGAGCAAATAAAGCGTAATAATAAAACTAGAATTCTCTAATGAGACTGTAACTTTCCTGGTTAGTACTTATGGCAAGGGAAAAGAAATTGATTTATAGGAAAGATACATAATTATCATGATGTAGTGTACTTTGGTACGGTAAGTAGTGTACATTTTACATTTTATATGCCTCTTCTTGGGATTGAACCCAGGGCCTTTGTGCTCTTCCAATTGAGCTAAAGGTTAACCCACCAGCCCAAGATAGTAGGAAGCCGTGCACCTGTATCTAACACTACCACATGAACACATGCATGTATTATGAAATACATGTATACACTTTATCTACTACTGAAGTAATTTGAAAATATTTCACAGAAATTTCTATTTTTAGTAACCACTGAAACAATGTTCATGGAAATCAAAATCCTATAAAAAGTATTATGTATCTTAGTGTAGTCTACTTGTTTACCGAGTTATACTGTAATCAATTAAAAACTCAGGTAGGAGTAGTGTCTTGAAATTATTTTTACAGACGGACAGACAGCAAACTAGACAGACAGACAGATGACTTTTGCATAATCTCTTTTGGTCACTGATCAGTAAAGCTTAAAACAAACAGGTGTGTCTGATAACAGTAAGCTGTACAGCCTTTTACATACAACCATGGAAAAATGTTGTATCAGAACTTCAATCAATTTTGTTTTTACACTACTCTAACAGAATAAAATGAAATAATTACCCCCTGTATTATTTCCTAAATATAACTTCCTAAAAAGTTATTCATGAAAATATTACAAAATAAATATGAACTGTAGGAGATGCAGTATTTAAATTTTTGACATAATTTTACATATCTTCATTCCTTCAGTATCTATGGCATTTTTTCTACTAAATTGATTTCTAGGAAAGATATATATCATGATGTAGTGTACTTTGGTACGGTAAGCAGTGTAAAGGGAGAAGTTTAGTCAGTTTGATTGGCAACACCCTCTGTAAAAAGAATCAGCAGATTCATTACTGTATACAGGGAAATTTTCGCCCCCGTTTTATTTTCGCCCCTTTCGCCCTATCCTCGTTTGGGCGAATTTAAAACGGGGCGAACTCGAATAATACAGTATATTTTCTTAAACAAAACTACGACTGGGCGAATTTAAAACGGGGTAAAATTATTTGCAAGTGTGAAAGGGCGAAAATAAGACGGGGCGAAAATAACCCTGTATACAGTATTTCTGGCTACTGACCACCAATTCATGTGTCAAATCCACTGAAACGAATCGATACCTGCCACAAATAATTGTATTGAACAAAGACATTTACATGTATACCCAGGGTCTCTGTGCTCTTCCAATTGAGCTAAAGGGTTAACCCATTAGCCCAAGATAGTAGGAAGCCGTGCACCTGTATCTAACACTACCACATGAACACATACATGTATTATTAAATACATTTTATATACAGTATACACTTTATATACTACTGTAATAATTAATGATTTTGATGTAACGTGTTATTTACCGCTGATCGCTATAAGTTGAAAATATCTGCAATTTTGACCTATAAACGCCATGGGACCATATATTTTTTTTCATTTTTTTTGCAAGGGCTCAGAAGGAAGTTTTTAATGATGCTAAGGATTTTTCTGGCATTGTCCTAGTTAAGTGCCGAGAGGGCCTAAGGTTTTTATAGAGTTCTATGGGAAAATAATTAGTGGTCTTTTCCTTATAACCGAAACGATAAATCGCCATGTTTGATCTAAGTCACATATATGTTTGAAGAATATGCTTGTACGCAACATAAATAATCTAGGTTAGTAGAGCGTTCATTCTGAAACTGAAAGTACATCAAAAATAAAACTGAAATTTGATTGTATTCCGGGGAAAAATCATTCTCCATTTGGGCAACCAGTGGTCTCTTTTACAAAAAAACTTATGACTAAGACCAAAAACTTGAGATGATTGAAAAAAATTTGTAAAATTAATGATTTCTGTTAAAACTTCACAATATTAAAATTATTTTACTTCATTCCTCTTAAAAAGATGAAAACCATTTTTAATTTATTGAAAGTTATAAACAGAATTCATCTTCGACGCAGATTCTTGTTTTATATCTAATCACCCACACAAATTTTACCTGCTTTTGCAAGTGGGCAAGTGGTTATCCACAAACCTGCCTATGATGCATCAACTAAGAAAGTTTAATGAGCATAGACCAGAAATTGTTCAAAATATGCCTCTAAATCATATCGAAAAATGGGCTCAATATTTATAAAGTCATCTTGACCTACTTTTAAGTCAACGTAATGACTAATGAGGTCCTTAGATGCATCAACTGACAAAAAGTCCTTATAGTAAGCAAAATATCAACATTTTAATAAAATTTAAGTAATTTCTGAACAACTTTGAAGAGACCTTGAGACCATGCTGTTTGCCTGAGGGTAATTCCCCGACGTGCAAATTTTTATCTACAACATCGGTTCTTGAGAAGAGATTTTTTTAGCAACCAGTATTTTTGTTTCATTTTTTCTAATTATATCCCCTTGCCTAAGGTTCACTACCCAGTGTTTTTTCACAGATGGAAGCCATTAGGCCAAGGATACCTTTTGACAAATTGGACAATTATTGACCAAGGGGATATTGAGTATTATTATACTTTCATGTTAAATACTAAGATCTGATTGGTTTAGACGCAGTTAACAATCCGTTCGATTACCCTGAGCCTTAGCAACACACGTGACAACGGGTAACACAACGGTAATGTCACATGCATGGAAATTATGCGCGTACGGTTCACCGTAGAATTCTCAAAACGTTGGTTGCGCGTTTGAAAGAACCGGAATTAACTTGACGTCAATTAAAGCTTGCGTCGGATATAACTTACTTGAAAACAACAAACGACAGACGATACATGCTTGCGAGCCAGAAATAACGAAACTTTATATGATAAATGACTCTAATTCGAGTATCAAACAAACAATAAGGAGATTAGTGAACCGGTGAATGTGAAAGCTTTCTATACAATGTAAAGACGATCGACTTTTTTTGGGGGCTTTTTTGCTGACGTCCTTAATCAATAAGACATTCAGTATAATAAAATACATGGTGCCTGTTTTGGAGGGTAACATTTGAAATTTACACCCCTCGGAAAACCATTGTCAACCTCCGCTGAGGCGTCGGTTGACAATGGGGTGTCAATTTCAAATGTTACCCTCCAAAACAGGCACCATTTATATAATGGCCCGTAATCTAACAAGTTTATGCACACTGCACAACGCATGCCGCACACCGAACAAATGGCAATAGCATTAGCTCTTTGAGTCTTTGGCTCAGATGAGCTAAAAATCTATCATTTTACAAGTGTCTTACCTTTGTAAGTCCACACAGAGAAGATTGATCCTTCTTGGTTATCTTTCTCTTTACTGACAACATCTTCAAATCTCTTAGTCATGTCCAACACAAGGATAAAGAAGGCCTTTGGTGTAACGTAAATTTGGTGACAGGCATAATATGCTAACTGGCCAGCAAAATCCAGCATGCTTACTGTTGGTAACTTCTCTTTTTCAGACAAGATTTTCTGAAAAATTTCATCTTTCACCATAGCTGTAGCTTCCTGGGAGATAAGACTGGCCATTACCTCTACTGTGTTTTCTTCTTCTGTGTCCTCCGTTGGTGAAGTAGGCAATTCCACATTCTCTTCTTTCTTTTCCTCTCGGCTATAAACTACTTCAGTACTTTTATCAGTACTTCCTACTTCCAAATTTTCTTTTTCGTTTGCATCAGAGCTGGCAACGGCACTACTGCTTGGGTCTGGTTTCAAATCTGTAGCATTTATTCTGATAAATGACTTGAATGGCGAGTCATCATCAGCCACTGAAAAAGAGGAATGTTCTTATTTAGTTTTGTTTTCATTTAGCACATCATACAGTAATTATTTAGGCAAAAAAATTATAACTTGGTTCTCAGTCCTGTTTTCTTAAGAATATTAAATGCATGAGGGACATTTTTAAGTGGTTAGCTTCGCTAACCGCTTTATGGCATGTATCCGATTTTTATCGACACCGGAAACTTCCATAAGGCGCTACCTATCGACAATGGAAACTTCAACAAAGCCTCTACCTAGTACCTATGATTTATTTCTAACACATATAACATATGTTAAACCAGAATTCTCTGACGAGACTGAAGCTCTACTGGTTTGTACTTATAGCAAAGGAAGAGGAAAGAACTTAAGCAGTTGGGAATTGAAACTTTACAACAGCAATAAATAGAACTAGAGGTACTGTGAGCATGGGCTCACTAAATTCTACCCCCCGCCTCCCATATGTGTATAAATGGCAGTGTCCATGTTTTGCTATGGAAAACCCAAAATATGTGTGGAATCAAAAAGTAAAATAGGAGGTGCACAATGGCAATATGTAATAAAGATTCTGTGAAAGTTTCATCAAATTTCATCCAGTGGTATGAGAGGAGTTGCGGATAAGAGATGGGTACCCCAAAGCGTAACAGACGGACGGACAGACGGACGTACAGACGGACAGAATTAACGATTACTATATACCCTCCCGCTTTTCAAGCGGGAGGTATAATAATGATTCTTGGATAATTCTCTTTATGTTCTTAGTGTAGTCTTCTTGCATGCCACATTATATTATAATCAGACTAAAACTGTATTTGAAGTAGCATTTTGAGAGTAGAAATTGCTATTTTTATTAACGAAGGTAATAATGTTCATTGAAGTCAAAAACGGATATAAAGAATTATGTATCTTAGTGTAGTCTACTTATATGCCAAGTTATATTGAAATCATACCAAAACTATAGGAGGAGTAGCATTTTGAAAGAATTTTACAGAAAATTCTATTTTAAGTAACAACGCCAACATCGTTTGTCGAAATTAAAAACCTATACACAGAATTATTATCTAAGTGTAGTCTACTTTTGTGCCAAATTATAATGAAATCAGACCAAAACTGTATTTGAAGTAGCATTTTGAGAGAATTTCACAGAAATTTCTATTTTTAGTAACAACGCCAACACCGTTCGTCGAAATCAAAAACCGATACACAGAATTATGTATCTTAGTGTAGTCTACTTGTGTGCCAAGTTATATTGAAATCAGACCAAATTTGTAGGAGGAGTAGCATTTTGAAAGAATTGCACAGAAATTTCTATTTTTAGTAACAACGCCAACACCGTTCGTCAAAATCAAAAACCGATAGACAGAATTATTTATCTTAGTGTAGTCTACTTTTGTGCCAAGTTATATTGAAATCAGACTAAAACTGTAAGAGGAGTAGCATTTTGAGAGAATTTCACAGAAATTTCTATTTTTAGTAACAACGCCAACACCGTTCGTTGTAATCAAAAACCGATACACAGAATTATGTATCTTAGTGTAGTCTACTTATATACCAAGTTATATTGAAATCAGACCAAAACTATAGGAGGAGTAGCATTTTGAAAGAATTTTACAGAAAATTCTATTTTTAGTAACAACGCCAACACCGTTCGTCGAAATCAAAAACTGATACACAGAATTATGTATCTTAGTGTAGTCTACTTATATGCCAAGTTATATTGAAATCAGACCAAAACTGTAGGAGGAGTAGCATTTTGAGAGAATTTCACAGAAATTTCTATTTTTAGTAACAACGCCAACACCGTTCGTTGTAATCAAAAACCGATACACAGAATTATGTATCTTAGTGTAGTCTACTTATATGCCAAGTTATATTGAAATCAGATCAAAACTGTAGGAGGAGTAGCATTTTGAAAAATTGTTTACAGACAGACAGACAGACAGACAGACGGACAGACGGACGGACGCCGGACGCATTACTATCGCTTAAGCTCTTCTGGTCTCTGACCAGTAGAGCTAATAAAATCAAGACTATCAAAACAACATAATTTTTCGTTTTTAAATTTTTTTTTCAGATTTTATGTCAATGAAATAAATTTATAATTGTTGTATTTAAAAAGTTTATGTATAGGAGCATTTGGTGTCGAGATTAAATTTCCGTGACATCAGCTGATGGCGATCGGGCTCTGTGACGAATTTGAAGTCAACATGAAGTTTGGCTGATAACATTATCAACGCGTTAGATTTAAACTTTAGGAAGAAATATATAGCGAGAAATATCATATTTGAACCCAATGCTACACGAAAACCAGTAGGCATTTCCGATTTGTGTGTTAAATTGAAGCCTGAATCGAACAGGTGGTCAAAATGCGTTGCACACCTTGTGTATTTATATATAGAGGGGGAAGAATGTTTTGATCTTTGGCTAATTTAGAGACTCACTGATAAAAATTCAGGTTCCTGTGATTAATTACAAGGCTACTCTCATGAACAATAAATTATATTTGACCGAATTATGCTACTGGGCACAGGGAGGACGGGTTAATTACTGGCTAAAGGGGTTGAAGGTTATTATCATTTTGAGCCTTTGAGAAGAAATAAAAATTGAAATACAGATGCTTACAGACATATTGATAGAAATTCGCAAACTTGTTTTTATTAGAAAAAAACAAAAAACAAAACAATGTTTTGCTTCTGCGACATATTGAAAAAAGTGACAATGATACCTAGGTAATTCTTGCAATGGACAATTAAATTGTTTGTTAAACACTGACTTTTAGTGAACCTTTGAATTTTTAAAATACTAGTATTGATGGATTCAACAACAACTTTCCTTTTCACAGTTTTTTTTAACAATATTTCATGAAAAATATTTGTAAAATACTCAGTATATGGTCGTTTATACATGTCATGCAAGACTATGTTTTAAATAATTGTCATATTCCATTTACTTAATTAAATTTACTATACTTACTATACTATACTTCAACTTACATTTAATTGTATGAAAAGTCAATAATGTACATTTCTTAAAACTTTATCATCTTGTTTACTTGTCTTTCTTCCTATGAGAGAAATAGTTCATTATATTAATAAACAGATGTACTCAGTATCTGTATCAAAATACAGAATGAACAGAGATCGGTCTCAAAAGAAAATTTTGGTGCCTAGGAGAAGTACATGTAAGCATCCCCAATGACAGGCCACACCTGCTGACCTGCAGTAAGCCTACAAAACTGAAGCTCTCCGAAATTATTTTATCCTCTGCTCGTCCATCCGTTTTTCTCAGACTAGCCAGCTAAAGATCAATATACAGTACTCCAAATCAATTAATCTAAAAAATTTGAATTATCATTTCATTTTCTTTTTGAGTTGTTCGCTATAGTAGCCTTTACAGTTACCTAATTTCAGAATCAATAGAGCAGGAAAGCCAATTAAATTTGCAACATCAACATAATTTTTTTTCGTTTTGAGCACTTTTGGACGCCACCAATGGAGCCAATTAGGGAGAAATTTTTGAAATTGAACTTCCTGTCTTTCAAACTGAAAATCTCGGGTTGATATTTTGAAACAAACATTTGTGACATCAGTCTGGGATGTTATTGGTTATACCATTTAGTTAAGTACTACAAAATTCAGTGTGTCTGCTACTTCGCTGATGACACTGGAAAAATATATGCATGCCTACTTGAATATCATCATTCAATGCATTTTTTGTTATTGTACACTGAACATATTCAATGAAAGCATGCTAACCGCTTTTCAGTACTTTCAGTACTTTGATTTTTCTTTATATCTCATGAAAAACAGACGTGGGAATTTTTTTTAAAGATATAATTTCAAAACTAAATTTGTAGTCCACGATGTTTAAGCATCGAGTGTAGATATCAAAACAAGAGGCGCAGAGGCCACATCTCTTACCTGAGCAAATCATCTAGGAAAAAACACAAATCAGATCAGAACTGAAAAGTTTACTATACTATCATTAATCATTGCTTTGAAGTACTTGAGAAAACGATTTTTAAAAAGATTTTTCCTATATATTCCTATGTTAAACTTTGTTCATCCGGTGCCCCACCCTACCCCTGGGGGTCATGATTTTAATAAACTTGAATCCACACTATCTGAGGATGCTTCCACATGAGTTTCAATTTTCCTGACCCAGTGGTTCTTGAGAAGAAGGTTTTAAAAGATTTTCCCTTTTTCTCCTATGTAAAACATTGATCGGCCATTGTGGCCCCACCCTATCCATGGGTGTCATGATTTGAACAAACTTGAATCTACACTACCTGAGGATGCTTCCATATGAGTTTCATCTTTCTTGGCCCAGTGATTCTTGAGAAGAAGGGTTTTTAAAAATGCCATTAATTTTTCACTAATTCATAATTATCTCCCCTTGGAAGAGGGCATGGCCCTTCATTTGAACAAACTTGAATCCCCTCTACATAAGGATACTTTGTGGCAAGTTTGGTGGAAATTGGCCCAGTGGTTCTTGAGAAGAAGATGAAAATGTGAAAAGTTTACAACAACGACAACATCGACAACAACAACAGACGACGGACAAATTTTGATCAGAAAAGCTCACTTGAGCCTTCGGCTCAGGTGAGTTAATTATATATTTCCTGCTTCTTTCTCTATTGTGTCTTGTACATCTATGATCCCGATAATTCATATAATGAAACGATGTCATCCTAAAAACAAGATGTGTTAAACTTACAGAACCCAACAGTGATGCTTGTCTATTGCTTACGTAACACAACTAATCTAAGTGTTTCAGCACTATAAATAGAGCATATAATTTTATTAAACTTTGTCTAATTCCTCAGTCTTTGCTTTAATTACCACACTACATGAAATTTATGAATCCTACTGACGTTCGAGTTCTGAGGTTGAAGGAGCCATCTTTGATCATTTTATTGATCAAGTTCAAGCATGGAAAACCTTCAAAAACCCCATTTTTTACCGTGGAAGTAGATTCCTCATGAATCTGCACTGAAATCAATGCCATCATAACTTATCTTAATCTGGATGCTTTATCCTGTGTACTTGACAGCCATATTTGTGTTTTTAACTAGGCCAAAAATTTGGATAATCTTGATGTTTGTCTAACGTTTGACTGATTTCTAAAATGCAGTCAAAATGCAGTCAGGAATTCCGTTTTCTTTTCTTTTTTTTTTTTGGGGGGGGGGGGGTAACTGACGAGCGCATGAGAGAAATTGTATTTTATTATTTGAGGATAATCAAAGGCCTGACGGCCTGAGAGGCGCATCGCATTGAGGGTATAAAACTTTTTTTTTCTTGGAGATATTCAACATCAATGTTAAGGGAATGAAATAATCCAGGAATAAGTATTTAAAAAATAACTAACGTTTTTTTTAGGTTAAAAAAAATGAGCCATGGCTCTGAATTTTAGCCAATCGATCAGGAGAGGAAAAACATTTTTTTAAAAAAGATATATCGGTTATAATTCATTGATATTTAAAATGAATCATAATTGATTCTAATTGTATTTTAATTCCTTTTTTTTATTTTTATTCTTTGACTAATAGAGATGTTTCTGAATATGAATCGAATCCGAATCTGAAAATGAATCTGAAACGAATCTGAATTTGAGGGATTCTGATCCCGATTTGAAAATAGATGTGACTCTTATTATACACTGAGAGTATGATTTCTGATGTTTTGTCTTTGATATATCAATAAATACGTTTAACCTGTATAAAACATTAATTAGTATGTGCATAGCCCCCCCCCCCACCCCAATCAACAAATATCAAATATCCTTCAAGAAATAAGTATTTGAATTTATTTGTATTACTATATAAATGTTACAAATTAATTGAAAATAAGAGTTTATCATGTTCGCTAGATTCATTTTTTTTTCTCGTTAGCTAATGAGTGTATTTGAAATGTCAACGGCGAATCAGGGATTTTGCTAAGGGATGAGACGAAGGGGGGATCAGAGGCGTAGTCACAAACTTAAAAGTGGAGGGCTCAACTCCAGAACTTTGACAAGGAAAAAAAAAATTGAAAGTTCCCGAAACCCGAAAATCCTATTTCGTGAGGGGGGGGGGTGCCCAACTTTTTCAAAGGCAAGTTACTTTCAATTCCAATTTTTTTCCACAATTCTTCGATATAACTATACTAGAGTCAACAAGTGGGGAGGGGGGGGGGGGCAACTATCCCTTCAATGAATGTTTCATATAGTAAAGGTAATGTTGGGGAAAAATAGCTGTGATTTTTGATTTTGTTCATCATTAAAAAGGGGGGGGGCACAGACATACTCTTGCCCCCCCCCCGATCTGAAAAAGGGGGGCTAGTGCCTTCGCTGCCCCCCCCCCCCAGTAACTACGCCTATGAGGATGGCAAATCAATAAACTCCCATAGGCATGTTTTAGTGGTTTTAATTCTCTTCGACCAAATTTGGGTATCGCGAGATATTCAGATACAATGAAGCGCATTGAAGTGGTAAAATTTTCCGTTTGGATGGAACGTTTTGAGCTATATTAAGACAGGCCCATCTCTTTAGAAAGGAAAGATCGGTCAAATGATTCAATCGAATACCTGTTCTATCGAATACCTGTAGAACAGGTATTCCATAAATATAGTAGCCAATCAAATTGACGGTCTGCATAAACACCGAGTAAGCACGTGTTCGACCGATACATGTGTCATGCTAACTCCAATAAAAATGATAAAATCATAATAATGTACAAATTCGTTGCAATACGTGTTTTACAAAAGCAGGGACTCTCTATTAGTTTTTTCTTATTTAAAAATCTTCAATTTAGTGTTAACTCAGTCATGTTGTTTGTCGCGGAAAGTGAGGTGCCTTAAATCATTACGACGAATATTGCTTTCTCGTTTCTAAAGAAATGGGCGTGTCGTTATGTTATAATTGACGGTCAAAGCATGACTCAGAACGTTTCATCCAAATGGAAAATTTACCACTTCAATGCGCTTCATTGTATATAGCCGGTGACATGTTCGCGCTAGCGAACGAGCGAGGGGTATGTTATTCCCAAGGAAGGGGGGAGGGGTTGATATTTTTTTTTTTACTTTATTGCATACAATTTCATGAACAACATAATCAAAGAGAGGGGCTACTTTGAAATTTTAATCTCTCTTGGTCGCTACGGACCAACTTCTCATCTGAAGACGTCGAAATTAATGATATGATACAAGGTCTATAAGAACTTGGGAAGACGTAGGGGAGAGTTCCCCACCCTTTCCATTAATTTTCGCATTGTAAACGTCACAATATTTACATTTCCCTTGTCTTTGTCAGAGATAAAAGTACACATAGTTAATGTACTTTATTTTCTGCATAAATTTACATCAAAAGGTGCTGTTAAAAAAATCACGTGCAGGACGGGACAAATAGCGATAAGAAGCAGGGCTTGTAGCACGTGGATTGGCGAAATCAAGAGCATGTAAATACACTGTATAAGGAAAAACCGTCAGATTTTTCGAATGCATGACGATGATCAATTGATTTGCTTTCGGCAAAAATTTGGGCTTCGAGAAAGTGCATGGTCACAAGATACAATGTAGTGTTGCTGAAAAAAAAATACCCGCCACATAATATTTCAATTATGTCTTAATATATGATACATTTACTCAAAATAAGGTTCAGAACACAATTCTTGCGAGGAACAAATAAAGTAAGCTAATGAAAAATACAACAATGATATTTTCGAACAGATTTTCCCATGAATTGAAAGGAGTCCTTTTTTGTTATTCAGACTATAGAATTGGACTTACCCAGTTTATAACAATATAAATCCCAGTGACAAAAATATAAACACCATCCACTTTTTATTTTCCTTATTAGTACATGAACAGGGGAATTTTTAAAAAAGAATTAGGAAATATTCTTTTTATAATGTTTTTATTAGTTTTCGAATCGGGATCGGGATCTCACCGATTCAGATTCATTTTCAGATTCGATTCATATTCAGAAACATCTCTATTAGAGATGTTTCTGAATATGAATCGAATCCGAATTTAAAAGTGAATCTGAAACGAATCTGAATTAGAGGGATTCCGATCCCAATTTGAAAATAGATGTAACTGTAAATTATACACTGAGAGTATGATTACTGATGTTTTGACTTTGATAAATTAATAAATACTTGTAATCTGTATAAAACATTAATTAATGTGTGTGAAGCCCCCCCCCCCCACCATCAACAAATATCCTGCAAGAAATAAGAATATGATTTTATTTGTATTACTAAATGGATTTTACTAATTAATTAAAAATAAGAGTCTCTCATGTTTGCTAAATTTTTTTTCTCATGGGCTAAGGATTGTGTTTGAAATGTCAACGGCGAATCAGGGATTTTACTAAGGGAGGCGACGAAGGGGGGGGGGCAAATCAATAAACTCCCAAAGACATGATTAAGGGGTTTTAATTCGTTTCGACCAAATTTGGGTGTCGCGAGATATTCTGATAATTGGGCCGTGACATGTTTGCGCTAGCGAACAAGCGATAGGTACCCCGGTATGTGATTCCCAAGGAAGGGGGATTAATTTTATTTTTCTTATTGCATACAATCCTTCATTTACAATTTTAATGAACAACATAATCGAAGAGAAGGGCTACTTTGAAATTTTGCTCACTTGGTCGCTACGGATCAACTACTCATTTGAAGACATCGAAATTAATGATATGATATAAGGTCTATAAGAACTGAAGAAGACGTAGGGAAGAGTTCCCCACCCTTTCTATTCATTTTCGCATTGTAAACTTCACAATATTTGCATTTCTTATGCATTTGTCAGAGATAAAATTACAAATAGTTAATGTACTTTATTTTCTACATAAATGTACTGTTTCATCAAAAGGTGCTGTTAAAAAAATCACATGCGGGGCGGAAGAGAGATTGAATAGAGACCAGGGCTTGTAGCACGTGGATTGGCGGAATCAAGAGTATATAAATAAATTGTATAAGGAAAAACTGGCAGATTTTTCGCATGTATGACTATGATCAATTGATTTGCTTTCGACAAAAAAAGCGGACTACGAGAAAGTGCATGTTCACAAGATAGCGTTGTTGAAAAAAATATCCGATATATAACATTACGTCTGAATATATGATACATTTACTCAAAAAAAGGTTCAAAACACATTTCTTGCGAGGAACAAAAAAGTAAGCTAATGAAAAATACAACAATGATATTTTCGAACAGGTTTTCCCATTAAAGGTACTTGGACACAAATATGAAGTTATTTTTCTCTCTATAATATTACGACTTATATATTTTAATAGCATTTCACACAAAAATTAATTAAAAATCTTATTTCGTTTAAAAGATATTTAAATTTCAAATTTTTCAGCGGGTTTGATTGATATATCCTTGCACTCTCACACATTTAATTTTATTCTTAATCCTTAGGAAAAGTGGCAATCTTGTTTTGTATAAATGAAAAATATTAATACTATAATCCAGAAAATTCAGAGTAGACACGTTCGAAAGCAAAACAAACACACAAAACATTGCCAGTCCGTGCAGTTGTGGTAAGCAGACTGTGACGATTGAACGCACCCGGTGAATTCTAAATATAAACAATAACAGAACTCGATCCCTGTTTACAAAAACTGTGTACATAACACGAGTGTGCTCGATTTGCTTAACTCTGTACGCATCTCTTAGTTCGGAGTGACGATACTTGTGAAGGTGTTTTGCTTTCTAACATTTCTACTCTGAATAAAATTATTTTTCTGGATGAAAGTGTTAATTTTTCTTATTAAAACACATCAAAATTGCCACTTTTCCTGAGGATTTAGAATAAAGTTAAAATTTGTGAAAGTGCAAGGATGTGTCAATCAAACCCGCCAAAAAATTTAAAGTTTTAATAACTTTTAAATAAAATAAGATTTTTAATTAATTTTTGT